CTTTAGATCAGCGGTCTAGATAGGCCGCCCTTTTCAAGCCTTTTTGGCAGGCCTACCGGACCCAGTCTGATTCTTTTTTTCGGCCAGGAGACCTCCATGGCCTGCATGGAGGCCTCCTGGCCCAAAAGAACCCGGGTAAGACCCCCAAGATTGGATGCGCTGCGGCCAACCGGGGTGGACCAGCCCAGTAGACCGCCCGGTAGGACTGGTTCGGTTCCGGTTGTGGGAGGGGCGCTTACAGCACTGGATGGAGCTTCGTTTTTTTTTGCTGCTTCGGGAACTTGGTACAGGCTGGATCAGATCCCATGTGACCCCTCTCTCTGCATCTGAAGCAGATAGGGGTTGTTTTGGTCAAATCTGTGATTTCCAGCTTTCTGTCTTGGATCTGAAACGTCCATTCTCGGGGGAAAGCCGGCGCGTGGTTGGTTTTCATCTCTAGTATGGCCGTCATCGACCAACAGTGCAGTGCCATGAAGTCCGGCGTTGCCAAGATCCATTTGAGAATTTTACTGGCCAGGTATTGTCTTTCGAGCCTGTCGACCAGTAGCCTGTGGAAGTCGGGTTGAATATTATCAAATTGAACCGAAAACTGTTCTTTGAGTAGTGTATGCTTGTACATACAGCATGTTTTTCACACATGGTTAACCGGGGGTTTCCCTTGAATTGTGCGCTGAAACTGTCATATTGCCCTGATTTTTGCTCTTTTCGTGTTTTTCTTTGTGTGATATGTAGGTGCTTTAGGGTACATCATGTGTCCAGTTTTGACATCTTTGGATCATTAATGAAAAAGTTGGCATTTCGTTGGGTTCGCTGAACGCTTCATTTTAACTCGGAGAGTGTTTTTGTGTTAGGGTTTTATACTTTATACTAAATTTATAGTGTTTTCAACTTTTCGTGGGTTTTTTTTCATTTTCTTTGACCAGTTTGTTTTTTCTATGTTTACACTATGGACCCATACAGTTAGTTCTTTAATTTTTTGCTGAATTTTGCACCGAAACTGTCGGCGAAAACGGGAAATTTTCGGCCCTCCGTTAACCGCGTGTCATTTATTTAAGCATCTAAGGATTGCATATTTTTCTAATCATCATTCACTTCAATTGACTCGGTGAAGCCTACCCTCCTGACACACCCCTGCCTCCCAGCCTTTATACAACGCGTTTAATCAGAGTCTTCCAGGGTTGCATCGGCGCCAACTGCCGACCCCGACCGTCGACCGTTTTGTCCCGACCGATCAGGGCCGATCGGTCGGCGGTCCGCCGACCAGTCAGAAAACAGGCATCCGCTGCTTTTTTTTTTTTTCTGATTGCGCAGCCTTACTGCGCTTGCTGAGTACAGCCCAAATCCGCAGAGAAACTTTTTGGGATGGGGGAGGGGTATGGGGGGTTGGGGTTGGAGCATACCTGCGGCGCAAGTGTGCAGGTCACCGATGCGGAAAAAAGAAAAAAAGAAAAAAAAAGAAAAAACGGCTGTTATGTGTG